AGCAAGTTCTTTCCCTGGCTCTCTCAACATTCCCAACAGTTCATCTGGCCCGGTGCAACCAGTCACAGCTAAAGGCTGCCAAGTTTACAAGTGCATAGGTTTCTCCAGAGTCCTGCTAGTGTGTTTCAGTTATTTCTGAGAGGCTGCAGTAATCCGTGCTTTTACATACTTCCCAATAGCTCAGACTTTAACAATCTGGCTAAAAGTATAAGATAGCCTTTACAGAATCTTTAGAATGGTATTATCTAAATGAATAAAAGATTCACACATGCACCCACTCTAATCTTTAGAATGCTATGATTTGAATATGTCCCCCAGAGTTCATGTGTTGGAAGCAGTACCTAGGGCGACACTGTGGAAAAGTGGAACTCAATAAGAAGTGATTATCTCAGCCCTCATGACTGCATTGCTGTCATTATCACAAGACTATGCCTATTATAGAAGTGAACCCTGTCCTTGCTAGCCTCTTGCTCTCTTGCACTTTCTTGCCCTTTTACCTTCCACCGCAGGAGACACAGCAAGCAAGTCCTTACCAAATGTTGACACCTTGCTACTGGACCTCCCAGCCTCCATAACTGAAAGAAATGCATCTCTATTACTTATAAGTTATCCAGTCTCAAGTATTCTGTTACAGCAGCAAAAAATGGACTGACTCTGGTTTACTTTCATTTAGCATTTTTTCTTCAGAGGTCACTCCTTTGTTCAAAAATAACTCCAGCGTGTTATCATCTGTGACCTCTTTCAGACAATACTCTTATTGGATCATAAACTCCTGAGAACAGAAATTGGACTGGTGCTTCTTAGTACAATGCATTTCATACAGTATGGTCTCCAGAAATGTAAATTAATGTACAGACAAGATTTGCATATCTTAAGCCAAAGGAGTAAGTAATAGAGATTTCAGACATTCTGGGAGATCCTTTGAAAGGAGTGGGATCTTTTGCTTTATTTTAAATTAACTTCTTATGTATTCTCCCAACAAGTAAACTACCATAAAGCAATATTCAGGATAACATAAATCTAGCCATTGGCTTGAGTAACTGAACCTGAAGAATAAAAATTCCTTTAAGAAGAGAGAAAGTATTTTTTCATAGAAGTCAAAAGACTTTTTAAAAAATATTTTCTTTATTAATATCTATTTGTATTACATTGAAATAAAGTTTTTCCAAACAAACAAGAAAAAAGAGAGGAGAGAAAGTAGAACCAGCAGCAAGACAAGCCCCTGAAACTAATGAGCTTAGGACAATGGAACATTAAGATCAGATAAATGTCAAACCCAGATGTATAACTGATATCTTAGAACTACAAGGGGACTTACAGAGTACTTTGTTCAAACTCTCTTCTTATTCGATCCAAAAATTGAGACCAAGAGAGATTAAGAGACTTGCTCAAGAACACAAAAAATTAGAGCTAAAGCTAAGACTAAAATGCACTTCTCTTGTCCCCCAAAACTCCCCTTCCAGGTACACCCCAGGTTCATTATTTAAATTGCTGATTGGGCAAATGATTCTTCCAAACAAACCCAAAGATTTGTCACTGACCTAGATTTTAAAAGTTTGAATAGGAAAAATTTGTTCATATTTGACTCAAAGAAAGCTTAAACTTCATGCTTTACATAATATTATTTGATTCTTCCTTATGCCGTGTCATATTTAATTACTCTTCATGAGCTCCTCCAAGATTTTTCCTTTAAAATAGTCATTATGCTACCACAGGGCAAAAATATGTGAAATAACTTAATTCCCCAGACTATGATTGTAAGTACGATAACAGGTTGTCTATGAAAGAACACCACTCAGTAAGCCAAGCCAATGCAACTGTTTGTGTAAGTGCATGAATACACAAAGCTTCCCCAGGGGCAGGGCTGCTCTGCAGTGTCTTGGACAGCCCAGAGGACCTGCAGGAGAAGAACAGCTACTATTGTTTCTGGCCACAGTGTCATTTGGATGCTGGATCTGTACAGCAGGCAAAACAAACAGCAAGAAGTAGTTTCCAGAAGAGAAGAGCAGACTCTACATCATCTCTTACATTTATAATGAGGAATAGCAGATTTTCTTCTCACTTTTCCTAAGGTTTCCTAGAGCTTTGACAAGGTGTGGGTATTTGTGTTGGTATCAAGTATCAGAACATGGTTTAGAAGCCAACATGGTGGACTCCAGGAAAAATTATGAGATATTTTCCCATACCTCAGCACCTCCTCAACACTTTTGTCTGTCTTTTCTCCAGGCTCCTATCACCACCAAAAAAAGTATCTAATCCCCCAGGGATCTTCATAAACCCTATGGCAGGCTGTTAAACACATGCTGTGCATGTCACTGCTTCTCGCCCTCTGCACCATGGCAGACATTGCCAGCCATGATTCCCTCACTGGGGGATCTGCCCTCACAATTTATCTCAGTAGAGAATTCCAGACAATCATTGCTATTCAAATGTAACACACAAATAAAACCCGTTTGTCATCCCTGCCTGAAGGTAAAAACACAATTCCCCTCTGCTCCCCCCAAAAAAACAGCTGGCCCAGAAGGCTCTTAAACCCCCAAAATCTCCAATGACTTGATGGACATGGACAACTGTATGCAAAACAGCAAGCTGCAAAACTGAGAGTTTCCCCTCAAATCATACATCCCCATGAGGAGGTAATCTGAGTGTGTCAAGATGAAAGCAGGACGCTTTTGAGAATACTCTCTCCTAGGTCTACAGGCCTTTCAACAATAAGATTTAACATGTAGGGCTCTCTTGGGCTTTATGGTTGCACAATGTATCCTCATAGCATAGTGGTTCTCAAAATTTATTATCCATCAGAATCAACTGGGAGCCTTGATCAAACACAGGCTTCTAAGCTTTATCTTTGGGGTTTCCAATTGAGTGGGTCAGGGCTGGGGCCCAAAAATTTGCAGAAATAATTGATTCTGACACTGCTGGTCTAGAGACCACACTTTGAGAACCATCTGTAATCTGTTGTACTGAGGATTCCACCTTCACCCTTGCCTCTGACCCACTCACTGGAAACCACATCTCTAAGTTATAGTTAAAGTCATAGTTAAGACAGCAATTCCATCCAATTGTCTCCTTGTCTATTCTCCTGGCCTCTCAGCAATACTTCATATGATATTTTGATACTTACTCCTCTCTTAGCAGTTTTAATACTGAACCAACCATTAAGTCCACTTCCATACAGCACTGAATAAATCTCCTTCCATATATGTTTATGCCCATAGAAACATAAGTTTTGGTTCTTGGTTCTCTCATTCAGAATCTTTTTTATCTCACATATTTCCATGAATGGACCCAAAGAATAAATACTCTAAATTACTTTAGGATAAATCTGCATCTCACAAATACTTGTCTTCATTTCTGACATTTTTCATCTTTATCTTGCAGCACAGAGTACAGTGCCCAATGCCTGTCACCCAAATCTACCAGTCAATGCCATCTTCAAGACAGAAAAATCTACTTTCCTGTGCTTCCTACAATTTTTGCTTCCAAACTCCTGGGTTTCATCCTATGTCTCTGCCTCAAAGACCCCCAGGTCTGTAGCTCCATGACCAAATCCAATCCAACCACCAAACCTTAATTATGTGCAACCACCTTTATAAAGTTTTCCCTGACTGCTCCATGAGGCAATCTCTCTCCCTTCCCTGAACTCCTCTGGTAAGCATCTCTCACACACAGCCTCTATCACTCCTGCTTATGTATTCTTTCTCCCTCTTACACAGAGATAATCCCCTCAATGTAAGATACGCCTTTGTGACCACATGGTCTCCTATTTACCAAAACAATCCTGATTGCAAGGATCATGTCAAGTAGTCTTAATAGTATGTCCATACTTATCACATCATCTGTTCTAGTTTTTGATCCAGCATGTATTTTTCACAGAATAATTAACTCATGATTCTCTTTATTTGAGCTACTCAGAAATATCAAAAATATACATTTGATAATACTCCAACACTTTCCCCATTAATACTAGCTGTTCTATGTTACAAAGATCTTTTATTACTTCCAAGGAGAATACCTGCCTTAACTCCATCAAGCTAAAAGTGTTAGAGATTTAACCTGTATGTTCAGCCCCAGCTAGACTCTAAGTCATTTCTAACCCTGCAGCATGCTAATCTATCAGAAGCTGTGCTCCCACCAGCATGTAAGGCTGAGTATTGGGTTTGATGCTCCAGCATGATATCCTATATCCCTTAAGGGAGCCATTGGAACCCACATGTCTATTGACTGCAGCCCCCTTGACAACCCCTGCTGAGACACTGTACAATCTATATGACTTTGCTTTCTTCTCAAGTTCTCAAATCATACCTTACTTCTTCCAGATATGAGCCATACGCTTGACTGGGTACCTACAGCTGATCTACCTTCGCCACCCACCTCCTATAGGGGCCTGGACTTGTCACTATTCCTCCAGGCCTCCAGATGAGTCCTCCTCGGTGAGGTTGCCTTGTACCTATGAGTATTGCTGCTCTGCAAGGATCTCCACTGTTGGCGTCCATTCACCACATCAAAGCCTTCCAACATTCCCCAGGACCCATAGATGTAGTGACTTGAGCAGTAGAGGGAGGACTACACAACTGAGATTAATGATAGGCTATCGAGGGCCATATTACAGTCCACATGACACTCTTTTCCAAGAATCCCAAAGCCTGATGATTGCCACATCCTTCCCTCTCATGGCATTCCAAACCCCTGAGCCCAGATCCTCTTGGGTCTCTCACCACATGGGGTTGCTGAAGGCTTTGGTGGTGTTACTACTGCCTGTCATGTATGCTTCCCATGCATTCCATGGGTTTGAGTCTTACTTATCACTAACCCTTCAGTTCCCCAGCCTAGCTATCATCTCCCGAGGAATGAGGCACACCACAGTAGTCACAGAGTTTCTTCTGCTCATCCTCTAGCTAAGGTGGTATAACAGGTCTCCCTGTGCTCCTACTCACCTCCCAACTAATCTCAGAATAATTAAGATTAAGTTGTGGGAGACAGAGAAATCTTGGTCCTACCTTCTTGTGAAGCCTCAAGGCTTGAGAAATCTCTTCTTGAAACTTTCGCCCATTCTCTGGGTACCAAAGATCGAATCCCACTTGAAGATCATCAGGAAGCCTCAGTGCTAGGGCTGAGCTACATGACTGACTAGTTGTTAGGACAGTGGTTTTGGTCTTTGGCTCAGACGTTTCATGCATATGCATTGGATTTGTGTGAGTTTGGGGTCCAGTGAAGGCTACTTCAATAGATGTCCAAAGCAATGGGAACCCTAATGCATGTTCAGCACAGATAGGAGACAAAGAGTTGCTCCCCTGTATAATCACCAAGGGTGACATTTCTAGATTTTTATCTAGCAAATCTTTTACATGCTATTACCAATGAAAATAAGCTATTTACTGATTTGACCCTACTAAAGGAAAGTTTTAGATGGAGGACACCAACTGTCTACCTTCTCCATCTTTTATTTCCATTTTTGACTTGCTCTTGTCCAATTACGTTTTGATTCAGTTCCTTTACTCAGCAAATGCTAGCTGGAGGGATATTGTGTGACACGGGCTGCCACTTCTGCTGTTTCAGTGAGTAGTAATAGCAGAGAATTTCAGAATTTACAAAGCACTTTTTCCCATACTTCATCCTACTTAATTACTTATGTCTAAAGACATAAATAAAAGAATGGGGTCTGTAAATGCCTATCAGGCCTGGCAGACATGGGCTGTGGGATTGGCAGAAGGCACATCATCCTGAACTCCAAAGTCTCATCATCAGATTAATTTATCCTTTAACTACTTGGCCTTAGCTCTGTGGAGACATACTGAGGCCAAGAGGGAGGTAAATAACTTGGAGAATGCCTTGTTCCTACTGATGGCAGTTCTCACCTGGAATGGACAATACAAAGAAAGAGAAAACCAATCAACAACCTGTGCTATTTTTGTCAACTGACATTGTACATAGTAACAACTGCTTTGCTGTAATTTCATTCTTGTACTTCTTTTAATCCAAAAAGCCAGACCCCTGGGTGTCATTTCCCAAGCACTTATTCTGGGCAACTAGAATTCATATTTTTCCAGGGTGTCCATCCTCATTTTGACTCAAACTTTTTGTTCCCAAATCCAGTGTACCTCAACTTGCCTTTGGGTTGACATACCTAATTCCCATATAGATCAGATCAGTACAAAGCTAGAGCATGGCTTCTTACCTTCTTCCATCCAGCAAGCTAGTCTAGATGCCTCTAAAATCAGCTCTCTGCAAAAAAAAAAAAAGAAAGAAAGAAAGAAAAAAAAAGAAAAGAAAAAATAAAATAAGAAAACCAGGGCCAGGGATTTAGCTCAGTGGTTTCGACGCCTGCTGTGCAAGTTCAAGGACCTGAGTTTGATCCCTGGTACCGAAAAAAAAAAAAAGGAAGAAAACTAAGTATCCCAGGGAGTTCCCACAACCAGTTTATCTTGCCAATCTATCTAACTGCTCCACTTGTCCCAGTATAGCCAACCCTTTTACCCCACCCCACCACATGCAAAAATAATAAATTAATATTTCCCCCCCAAAAAAATGTCTTAAATCGTGACTCTCACCCATTTTCAGCTAGTTCTAGTGCGGGCATTAAGCTAAATGAATAGGATGGGACTTTGTTTATATACTCTCAAGACTTGGACTATTAGTCATGAGTGACCTATACAAATAATTTTTCAAATTGACCTTTTCAACCCATGCCACTTCCGTGTAAGTCATCCATGACTTCTGGTCATCCCACATACTTTGTACTGACAAACCTTTAATTGGAAAATAGAGATGGCATGACTTAGTAGGTAATTTTTCATTTAAGTAGTAATATTTTTGTTAAGTGCTTTGTCTGTCTATGCAACCCAACTTAAATCCACAGAGTATAAAAAGAGTTTTGTTTACAAAGAAAAAAAAAAGAACAGAAAGGAAAGGAGAAAAAATCTTGTCCACATCATTTTTCTACAGTGCATCTGAATAATAGCAGGGCTATAAATAGAAGATGCAAGAATGACTAATTCTGTTTTGATTCCATCTCTTCAATGACAAAGGAAATCCTTCTGTACAAACATACTAAGCTAAATCATAGCAGCTGGACTTGAGGAATTTTATCTAGAACATCTAGATCAAACCAAGAGTGTCAACCTTGAGATGTGCAAACAACTCCCAAAGGAACTCAATTTTATAACTATCAATTTAGAGGACTTGTGATTTAAAAGAAATATTTAAATACAGCCTTGCTTTAAAGGCATACTCTCTTGAAATCATCACTACTAACAAAACGCAAGAGAAATCTACCCTCAATTACTTTATCCTGGAAAAGGCTGTCTTTTGTGACAAGAGAGCATATGCATCATTTATTGCTAGAAATTTTCTTTGAGAAATGCAGTTACCCTTCAGAAATTCATCAGCTAAATTAAGGCCTCAGACATATAGAGAGAAGTCTGCTGGCACTGCACTGGGGAGCGAATGAATGAAAGACTGGATTGAATTTTCCATGGAAGCCGACAATTAAAATTGTTTTCTTTGGTATATCCCTTTCTGTCAGTTGTTTCTGTGCTCTCCAAGAGAAGAAAAAAGTTAAGAAGCCTGATTCAGTCATTTTCAAATCTCACTTCCAGTTTCCATCTTATTAAAGACATGACTTAACTTTAATGTGTGTAACATAAACAGAATCATAAAAAGGAAAGAATTAGAACAGTCTGGAATAGTCAGTGTCCAGAGTTGGAAGATGCCACAGCTGATTTGTTCTTTTTATTATTGTTGTTCTATTGTATTGTTTACTGCAAAGAGAAATTCTCCATTCCACTGCTGCTCATTCCTCACCCTCCATTACAATCACTGGGAACTCCAATTTCACAAAGTTATTACAATACGGCCACAAATAATCCATCTTGTCAAGTCCATCTTCAGGACTGGAGATAAAGTTGGAGCTGAGTGGCTGCACACATCTGGAGAAGGTTCAGTACTTGTAATCGTGAGCCACTCTGTGAATGCACCCAGGAGAAAGGGGCTGACAGGCTGCATATTTCTGCAAAATGTTCCCAGAAAGAACCAATTTCCTGACTTCCATGTGGTGTCAATAATGGAGGCATGAGATGGAGCAGTGCTTATGAAATATTAAATCTGCTTACAGGACCAGCTAGAAGCAAATTCAGACCACCTGTGAGAACAAGCCCAGCAGTGGGTACTCAGAGTTTGGCATACACATGTCTCATGTGAACGATATGTTCTCATCTTATTTGCCACAAAACTTCCTGACAGTGGGTTGGGGGGAGATTTCTGCACATTTAGAATTGAAACAGTTCAAATCACTGACATTATTAAATTTACTATCATAAGCAGCCAAAGTTCATCTTATTCATCAGGAAAAAAAGTGACTGATGTTTCATGGCATTAGTATTAGATCATTTTGGGTTTTGCCAATAAAAACAAAGCATTAGTGTTTCAATGTTTTAATATCATGATTTAATTCTCTCAATGATATTAGGACCAAAAAGCTCAACTAACGTGAAGACCCCATCAAAATTCTTGAGTCAAAAACTCTGGTTCTGAAATGAGTTCACCATCCTGACCTCCCATTTCACAGTATATATTTTATGCCTGTGACTTTCCAAATATGGCCTCTTAACATTGCAAATGTAAAGGTTTATATCGTTAACTTGTGTTTCAAGGGTTTGCCTAAATAAATAGAAAAACATCTGGGCTCTTTTTACTGGCAAATGCAAGAGATATTTGACCTAAGATCAGATTCTGAAACTTGAACATTAACTTGGTCTTTCCACAGAATGTCTCGAATTTTCCACAACTCTCTGCTGAGAGAGTTCAGCCTAATTCTTTCAGGGGAATGATACAAGAACGCACATGTCCCAACAAGATATATGTCCCAGTTGGCTTCTCTTACCCCAAAACTTTATCAATAGGTCTACCCCATTCTCATCTAAACTATGGGTACCATCCCAAGGCTAGAACACAGTCAGGGACTCAAGGAGACTGACCAGAGGGAGTGTGTTTTCAGTCTGTCCCATCAGCTCTACAAGGGCACCATCTGCAATTCTAGGCTAAGATTTCTTTGACTTAAAATAAGCCCCCTGCCAGGACTCCATGGAGTCACAGACTGCAGCAGTCTGCAGAGTAATATCCCAGACTCAGCTCCATTTCTGATTTGGCCTGGAGAAATAGATCAGGCTTTGCTTCCAGATTCAAGAAGACTAGGAGTACAGCCACACACACACACACACACACACACACACACACACACACACACAGCTCTACATGTATTATAAACCATGTGAAGGCACATCCGGACACACAACTCCAATGAAAGTTGCCTGCAATTGGGCAACATGGCAGCCATTGGATTCTAATCTAACCCTTCTTGAAATTTTTTATTAAAATTCAAAAATAATAAGCCTAATCCCTAATCTACTTTTGGCCAAGTATTTTGTTAAAATCGCCTTTTTCTTTTTTAATTGAAAAGATAAATTCTATGTTAAGTGTGCTATGTTAAGATGAATGTGCTCCTTCAAAACATTCTGACAAAAATGTAGTTATTCCCCAAGGATAGGAGCCAAAGCTAGATTCAACAGTCATTCTCTTCAGTATTTCATATATATTTAGACTTTCAGAACTGGAAGATGACGTATCAATCTGCCCACACAAAGACTTATACACAAATGTTCACAGAAGAATTATTCACAATAGCTCAAATGTTGTAACAGTCCAAATATCCACCATGTGGTGGATGGATAGACAAAATGTGGTATGCTTGTAACAATGGACCACTGTTCAATAATAAAGAGAAATGAAAGTATCGCTCATGCTGCAAAATGGATGAACCCAAAAAACAATACTAAGTGAAAAAAGCCAGACACGAAAGACTGCATATATGTTTGAACTCATTTATATTAAATGTCTAGAAAAGACAAATATATACAAACAGAAGGTAGATTCCTGGTAGACCAGGGTTGTGTATGAGAACAGGGTGTGACTTACAAATGTGTACTTCTTGTAGAGGTGGGTTCACATTTGGATTTTAGTGATGATTGATCAACTCTATAAATTTACTTTTAAAAATCATTGAATTTAAATGCTTTATAGAAAAGAGTATATAAAAACAATAGTGATTAATATGAATTGAGCATTTCTCGCTCCTCAGGAGCTCTGGCATTTACATACACTCTCTTATTTAATCTTTACAATAACCTGTTAGATAAGTGCTGCTGCTATTCCTATTTTACAAGTGAGAAAACAGGCTAAATCATTAAATAATTTTCTCAAAATCAAACAGCTAATAAACAATGGAATGAGGAGTCTAATCCAGGCTTACCTGACTCAAGAATTTAATCACTATGCCAGAGTTTCACCAAAAAAGTATTCAACACAAAGACATGCTCTGAAGTTGTTATAGGTGTGGCAAAATATGGATTCCTCACTCACTCCCTGGAGAAATTAAACAGGACCAGGGGCCAGAAGAACCTCAGGCCAGTCTTTTCAGAGTAAGAGTAGCCCCAGTAGTTTTATTGTCATGTAAATGTATTCATTTTGCATGATAGCACAATGCTAAGCCCACCTCAGTTTATAATCCTCTTGTCTTATTTTGCAGCTGTTCATGCATCCTGATAGGAGAAAAAATGATTGATCCGGAATCACATTGGTGTTTGTGAAAGACCTGTACCCAACCCCAACAGGCTTTCCTTGTGCTACGGGGCCTTCTACATCAAAGATAAAATATTTAACTAGATGACACGACTGCAATTGCCCTAAAGGTGAAACAGTTTTAGATAAAGAATTATTATTTTCAAGAACATAGGATACAAACTAGAAGAGTTCTGAGCTTCATCTCCAACTGCTTTCTCTTTTACGAACCTAATTAACCAAGCTCCCTCCAACCTTTCTGTCTTCTAAATATCTTTTGATTCCATTTGTTTTTCTCCATCTGTACTGTCATTACCCCATGCTGATCATTGTCACGTTTTATCTGCGTGACCCTAGTGGTGCCATAATTGGTCTCCAGGCAGACAGTCTTGCCCTCCCCACATAAGTACAGGTAACAGCTCATCACTCCTCTCCTTACAACATTTCTGTGGGTCCTCATGGACTACAGAAGGAAATCCAAAATCCTTAACATGGACCCCTTTCACTACCACACTCTTCCTCCAGCCAGAATGGACAATGTTCAGTTCCTCCCCATGGTGTGAGGACAGTGGGCCTTCCATATGCTGTTCCCATGGACTTACCTGTGGGTCATGGGTTTGCTTAAATAAGGAGAAAAACATCTGGGTTCTGTTTTATGTCACAGCGAGTTTTCTTCTGCTACCAATAGAAATGACCTTGACCCCCTCTCCCCTCTTCACCTGGCTAACTCCTACTCACCCTTAAGGGTTCAGCTTAGAGCATCTTCCAGGATTTCTCTCTTTCCCTCTCCTTACCCTCTGCCACTCTGCTATAACCCAACCCTCAGTTAGATGCTCCCTTCTGTGGTAGCCCTTAGGTCTCTCCTCCCTGTCTGTGTCACTTCCTTCTGTCTCACCCTGAGAGGGCAGATCTGTGGTCTGATTCGTGCTTGGCCTCATACCCAGTCTCTGATACACAGCACACTGAAGGAGCTCAG